GTTAATCACGGTCCCATTGAGGCGGACAGCCGAAGAATGTCTTGTCGACGGAGATGGAGTGTTGAAGAAGACGGTATGGGCGAATGGTGGATACTCGTTTGTTGAGCTCACCTCCATTTCGAGTGAAAGTGTTGCGTGAAGAGATTCGACATTCACGCTGACGTTGTCTCCAAAGCAATTTGCTTCGATTCCGGTGAAAAGGTGCTCAGCTTTCGTGCGTCATGTGACAACATCACCAGAGCAAGGTGGCATCGTCACAATCAAATTCAAGCTAACGAGTCAAGACAACTCGTCTTCTTCTGATGGATCCGACTTTGAATCTCTTCACGCAACACTTTCACTCGAAATGGAGGTAAGCTCAACAATGACTAAACTCTCACTCATTAAGTGTCGTCAATATTGAAGACTACTCAAATCGAAATTCAGTAACATCTCAGATTATTTTGGCAATTTACCGGACCTGGCTCTATAATTCTTCGCCGTGCCCTATCACTTTGTTGACCAGGCTAAAAGGCCCTATTGTGTGTATGCGTGTGTGTTGGCGACTCACGGGGATTGCAACCTTGGCAACAGGCTTTCTTGTAGGCGTGTCTGCAGCATGGTCTAAGGTTTTTGGTTTAGCTGTTTCTATCTCAGGCCGCCCACGCTAGCAGATCGATGATCCAAGAGGAGTGTAGACCGGACCGAGCTAGTCGAAGCCCTAACAACACAACCTATCCAGAAGAGAGAGAGAGAGAGACAGATGGATCCAAGACTTGTGATGACGCAAGCTTAGTTTGAGCTATTTTAACGAGGCTACAGCCAATACTGAGAGTGTCATGTGATGCGAAAGCATGCTTGAAGAAGTAGAGAAGCAACATACTCGAAACTCTACTCAAACACGAAAACCACATGCTCGGCCGGGAGTGTACATTTGGCATATTTTCGCCAAGTAGGTTTCACTTTCTGTCCGGTCGCAGATGAAAGCTCAACACGCACTTGTCAGCATCGCAGGGCCGAGTCACGAAAACTCGTTAGCTCGAATTTGCTTGTGATGATGCTACTTCGCTCTGATGATGTTAGTCACATAACGCACGAAAACTTATCACCTTTTCACCGAAATCGAGGAAGATTGCTTTGAAAACAGCGTCAGCATGAATCTTCCAGTAAAGCCAATCAAGAGGAATCGGACCTCGTCTTCTGGTGGAACCGAACTTCGAATATTTCACCAAACACTTTTCCTCGAAATGGAAATGAAACAAGAGATTCCTCAAAACCCAACTTTTCTTTGCATAGACTTGTCTACTAACCGGCTTTATGAGTAGGCAAAGAAATAATTGTGGTGGATGCATTAGCGAATGAGTAGTCTGATGAGAAGGCAGTTGGCGCCGTCGTCTTCTGGTGGAACCGACCTTCGAATCTCTTCACCCAACACTTTTCCTCGAAATGAAAATGAAACAAGAGATTCCTCAAAACCCAACTTTTCTTGGCATAGACTTGTCTACTAACCGGCTTTATGAGTAGGCAAAGAAATAATTGTGATGGATGCATTAGCGAATGAGTAGTCTGATGAGTAGGCAGTAGCCGCCGTCGTCTTCTGGTGGAACCGACCTAATCTCTTCACCGTACACTTTTACTCGAAATGGAAATAAGCTCAACAATTGTGAAATAAGCGATTCCTCGAAACCCACTTTTTCTTCGCATATATTGCATGTAATATCAAGTCATGTGAGGTCATGTCATTTAATGTCAGGTTATGTCAGGTCATGTCAGGTCATGTCAGGTCATGCGATGCCAGGTCTCGTGCAACATGCATTCTAGAATGGGATTGCAGACAAGAAGAGAATAGACCGAAACGAACCCTCCAGTCAGTCTGGAATGAACTTTTCCACTTTCTGATTTAGTCTCTCACGCTTCTGTTGCTTTTCAGGTAGCAATGATGGCCAGGCTAGAATGGAGTGAAGTTTAGACCAAAGCTGGGTCTCATTCACACTCGAGCAGGAATTGAACGTCGTCATAACCGTGCACGCTGCCATGCCACAAGCCGGGTTCGAGTCCCTCTGCGGCTGCTGATGAGATGAGTTGGCGCGAGGTAGAGTCGGGAGGAGAATACCTTCATGGAGATGAGGTCGAGTGAACTTGAATGGCAATTGTTGAGCTTACTTCCATTTCGAGTGAAAGTGTTGCTTGAAGAGATTCGAAGAGACTAGACTATCGCTTTCTCAGCTATTTTCTCAAGAAGACTTGCTCAAATTGCAGAAAATGGCGGACGGTTTGGCGGATAGGATGGATAAGATTCATAGTTGCCGACACGATAAGAAATTAAGGAATTTAGGCATCAATATCAGCTCAAGGAATCGTCGAAACAATAAGGAGGTAGTTAAACTTATACTATTTTTTATAGCAAAAATAAAGTTGAGATGATTACCTCAACGGACAAACTGCTAGAAGGGGCTAAGGATAGTATAGAAAGAGAAGTGATTCCTCATTTTTATGAAGTAGTTATTCCAATGAAATCGTATGAATTGAATAATGGTTGTAGATATTTGCACCAAAACGATCTTTTTTTTTAAAGGCAAATAAAGCTGGTGCAGTGGTCATCATGGATAGGTTAAGTTATATACAAAAAAGAATGGTTCATTTAAATGATTCAGAAACTTACAGACTTTTACTGAAGAATCCCACAGAAAGTCTTAAAGCCAGACTTAGAGAATCGCTTAACGTTCGTGTAAGCAGAAGAGAAATTGAGAAGTGGAAAATGAATTCACTTCTTCAGAAGGATGCTAGAGCACCTTCGGCTTACGGCCTTCCAAAAATGCACAAGGAAGAAGTTCCTTTAAGATTGATTGTTGATAATAAGGGTACTGTGATGCATAGAATCTCACGGTTCTTATGTAGACAACTAAGGAAATTGGCTAAGTAGTGGAAATATTCAGTGAAGAATTTATATGAATTCGCTAGATTAATAAATCAACAGATTATCAAAGAGGAGGATCTTTTGGTTAGTCTTCATGTGGTATCAATATATACTAACATAACAGTTCATAAAGCTATTCAAACACTAACACAGCCTCGATAAGGCTCCAGAAATTATTGGGGAAGCAAAGTTGAGCAAAAGCTTAATCTTCAGGCTACTTAATCTATGTAATGAGATGTATTAACTCTAATACGAATATAAGTAACGTTGTCGATTACTATAGCAAACATAGGTTTGCTTCATCGGCAATCCCACCAAAAGAATATGATATAGCAGAGGCCTAACTCTCCTTGAAACTCACTTATGCCCTGTGACTCAAGGGTACTCGTGGCAGTGTAGCCGA